GCGGGGTTTCTGGGCCTCTCTTGCCCGTCTCCCCATGGGGCTGGCGGGCTCATCCTCATCCTCGTCAGGGATCAGGCTCGCCACGGTGTACTCCTGTCCTGACCCTCGGAGCTGCGCGCGTTCGCTGGAGAGCTCCTCACACTCCAGCGCTTGCTCGACTAGGGTATCGAAAGGGAGGCCTGCGCTACTCTTTTTGGGCTGCCACCACGCGGTGCGAGCTAGGTACCTGAGTAGCTTGTCTGCAGCTAGCGCGTCAATGACCTCCTTCGAGAACTCTGGATGGGCGATCCGGGTTAGTGATCGCACGTCCTCAGCGTAGTCTCGGAAGTCCTCGCCAGTTTGGCGTCGGCGCGCCTCTAAGGCGGTCTTCGCCCGTATCGCGTTGCGCGTGCCGAAACGCAGGTCTAATCTACGCATTAGTTCTTCTAGTTGGGTTTGCGCGCTTTCGGGTAGTGCCTCTACAAAGTCGGCTGCCCGCCCGTCTAAGTTTAACGTAAGATGTCGCAACGCCTGCGCGTCCGACCAGCCATTAAGCTCTTTAGCCCCTATGATATTACGGGAAAACGCTTTCCATGTAGGGGTCCCCTGGCCGGTGAACACATGCCTTACCTTTGCGTGGAGTAGCGCGCCACCTTCCCGTGAAGATGTGAGGGTTCGTCCCACTTCTGGCACCAAGTTGTTGGGGCCGCTGGTCCCCGGAGTCCCTCCCTGCTCCGTGCCTATGGCAGGGGCTCCGCCGTGCGCCGACCCCTCGCTGCTCTGCGAGCAGCTGCTGCCGTCGCTGGGCTCATCGCCCGACGGCTCCCCTCCCTGGTCCGTCCCTCCGCGAGCTCGTGTGAGAGGCAAAGCTCGCCGCACGCCCTCGTTCACCTGCAGACGCTGCGTTGTCTCTCCACGGATCACGCGCTATTAAACGGGGGTCGGGGGCGAACGACGCTGCCCTCACACTGCGCGAGTCCCGGCGGCGACAGACGGATCGGGGACCTGCGGACGCACCGACCCCTTCACCCACACTACGAGCGCACACACCTGCACACACGCGACACCCACTCGTGCGCCGCTCTACGCAGCGCTCACTCACGTGGTGAACCACAGTGTACACACGCGCACCCACACGCTCACACTGCACGACAATATCACGCGAGACCACGCTTCGCTATTAATGATTTATTATCTGATACCTGGTAATTTAATGTTAAATCAGTGAGTCGACGAGGCTGGCCTACGCTGATACCTTTATACCTATTCCCGATTTATCTGCTATGATTCTAATTCTAATGTTAAATCAGTGAGTCGACGAGGCTGGCCTACGCTGATACCTTTATACCTATTCCCGATTTATCTGCTATGATTCTAATTCACCTACTTACTTCCTGCTGGATGCCCACGGCGGTTCGTTGATCCCGTGCTCGCAGCGTACCTCGATGCGTCTCACGGACGATCGGGTCGCTGGACTGGAGAGCGTCCTGTCGCCTGGCGCTGGAGAGAAGAGAGCGATTTCCCCTCTGCGCTCCTCTATTTATCCTCCCTACCTCAAAGGGGATGCTGCGCTGAACAATGGGCTCGTGCACCCCAAGCCCGCGCACGGCGGTTCCCGGGCGCTGTTGATATGCTAATCAGTGAGCGACGTTGGCGGCGTACATCCTAATTACTCCCTTACCCTTCCTAACAATGGGGCCTGCGCGCTCAAGCGCAATTATCCCAACCCTCCATGACTATGCGCAACAGCCCCTGTGACCCCGCTATTCATGCTGTCCCGTGCCTCCCCTGCTTGCCCCGTCGACCCGTGGGAGTGTGTGTGGGGGGAAATGCGCCTCAACCGCGGTGGCCGAATGCCCCACGCCACGACCACACCATATTAAGGCCGGCCGCAGCGCCGCGGTGCCACGTAGCACGGGGGAGGTCATCCAATTCCCTGATCGCCGGAAACCGTGAGAATTAATCCCGATAAGGGTCTCTCGGATAAAAACCGGTCGGCCAGGCGACCTCCCCTCGGAGCTCTATGGGGGGGGGGGGGGGAAATGAGTGCGGGTGTGTTCATGTGAGGTGAGGTGAGGGGGACGCGGGGTCGGCTCCGTTGCTTGGTGGTGGCGAGGTCGGGGATTTGGTGCCTGCCAACGGCTTCGTGGCGGCGGCATCACACTGAAACAGTAAAAGGAAGTGTGACGATGAAGTCGTGCTCTAGAGAGAGGCTGGGGTTTGGTGTGGGAGCTGTGGTTTGGCGTGGGAGCTGTGGTTGGAAGTGAAACCTCAGCGAGCTGTGGGTGGGATGTCGCGAACTCTTCAACTGAAGGCAGCAGCAGGAGCGACATAAAACGTGGTGCGTGCTGAGAACTGAGCAGACAGCGCCGTGGCTCTGAGCCATGGACACGGGGACGAGGAGGTGTGCGGTGTGGATGAGTGTTGTCATCTGCATCTTGTCCCGCATCAGTGAGTTATTATTCACGTGCTGTTATACACCACACTGTGTTTACGTACAGCATGTACGTTCAACTTGTTGCGCACCGTACATTTAAAAACCGTACCGGAGTGTTCAATATTTATAATTTGCCGTTTTGTCGTTTCACTTTTGAAGCGAGTGTTCATTTACAGGCATCCTCCAGAAGGTATTTTGTTGCTGTGGGACAGGAAGTCACCTTGACGTGTGACAGAAACACTCCAGGATGGACACAACACGACAATCTCAATATCAGATCTATCACCTGGTGGCGTGGTGAAGGCAGTGGAGCAACCGAGATCGATTTAACAAACTCACGAGATGTCAGGATAACATTCACTAAGGATGTTGATCAACATAGGGCTTCTATCCGAATCAAAAATGTGCAGCGCAGGGACGCTGGGTTTACAGTTGCCTGGTTGAAAGGGAATTTGGAACAGAGAGTCTCACGATGGAAATTATCACAATGGAAGGTACCGAAATGTGTTACACTATTTAGCACAAGCACCCTTCCTACACTTCAAAGTGAAATGTATGATTATTTGTTGTACATTTTTAATCGTGATATACTTTCATCACATTTTATCCGTCAAGATCAAGTTGTGGTTTAAACGCTGCAAAGAGTTGACACGAGGGTGATGCGTGGCGCTGGTACTGCACGTGACGAGCCCTTCAACTGCAATGCCAGCGGTAGATTGTCCTCGCTGCCTCACGTCCTCTGCCTCGCCGTGGCACTGCGACTCGTGGAGGTGACACGGCACAGACTTCCTATCGCTCCCACGGTGGCATTGCACCGGGAGTCCTGTTCGGCGCTCTCCTAGCGAAGCCGCGCGTTTACTTGCATGAGTGTCAGTGCAACAGGAGACGTTGGTACTGATGCAGGCCTCTCACACCGCCGCCTGTCACACAGCCCGTCAGGTCTCTGTGGTGAACGGGGACCGGTTAGGAGTCGCCCAGACTCGCTGAGCGGTGCTGCTGTGGTCTCGTCCACAAGAGGAGTAGTGCAGGAGTCTGGAGCACGGAGTCACTGCTGAGTCCTGAGTTTGTTTTACTGCTTTTGTTTTCTTTAGTTTCAGCCGACCCATCGAGCGTCGTGAGTGAAGGAGAGACTGTCATATTGACCTGTCTCATCTCAAACAGTACCTATGGAACAGGTCTGGTTTGGTATCATGGCAACACTTACATTGACCAAGGCAATCGGCTGACACTGAACAAAGTAAAACGATCTCAACAGGGAGAATGGAAATGTGTTCTATATGATCAGCACAACAGACCCTTTGCCTCGTACAAATTGGAGTTTACATCAACTGGCAAGTCTACTGTTATATTCATTAAAATGTACTGTTATTAACTCATATGTGTGGTTTTATATTGAATTTTAAAAATTTTAACGTCAAATGTAACAAATACATATTTACATTTAGTATATGTTTTGATAATTATTGTGCGTTAGTTCATTCACTGCTGTTTGTTTTATAGGAAGTGATGATGATGATGGGCAGGCACTCGCAGTGAAGAAATATTTCATACACGAGGGTGGGGAGGTTTCTTTGTCATGTGATGAATCTGATCCTGGATTTAAGTGGAAAGATCGTGCACAGCTGCTACGCGCTGTCACTTGGAAATGGAGATCGCAGAATGGCAATACAAAGCGATATGATCAAAACATACAAAATCCACCGCAATCGTCTGATTATGAAGATCAGTTTCCTTTAAAATTGTCGCAAGTTACGTTTTCACGTGGTGGGGTTTACACATGTGAGTTTACTGGCTACTATAGGACAGGCACCCTCACAATGGAACTGGTCACAATGAAAGGTAATGTGATTTTATATATATCATTAAAACACTTTCATACAATAGTGCAACTTCTATATCAAGATAAATGACACCTTCATGCAACATATCATAGTATGAAAATACGCATTTTTCCAGTAATGTTCAGGTAAAACCTGTTGCATGTTTAATGAGTACGCTTAAATGGGTATCATAGATAGTCATGCAGCATGTATTTTGAACTTCTTTCGCACCGTACGTAGCCAACCGTGCTAATCGGAGGTGCTGCACATTGGGTCCTGCCCTGGTGGAGATGTCTGACATTGGATGAGCCCCTCCTGACTCTCCCTGTCACTCCGTGCCCTCTGGTGACGTCACACGACCCGTGGTGCCACGTCAGTGCCACGGTGCCCGTGTGACGTCACCCGTGTTCCAGTGGAGCCAAGCGATTTCATGCGGAACTGTTCATGGAATGGCAATTATTGTTTCTGGACCTCGCCTGACATTGACTCCTGTCACGTGCGATACTGTTTTAGTGAAACTGCGTGTTTACTTGCAGAACTGTCAGTGCTACGTAGGCTCCTCACACCGCCCCCTGTCACACAGCCCGTCAGGTCTCTGTGGTGAACGGGGACCGGTTAGGAGTCGCCCAGACTCGCTGAGCGTCGCTGCTGTAGTCTCGTCCACAAGAGGAGTAGTGGAGGAGTCTGGAGCACGGAGTCACTGCTGATGTCTCAGTTTGTTTTACTGCTTTTTCTTTCTTTAGTTTCAGCCAACCCATCTCTCTCTGTGACAGAAGGAACGACTGTCACATTTGAGTGTGACATCTCAAACAGTACCTATGTACAAAGTATTGTTTGGACTCACGGTGGCATTGAGATGAACAAAGGCAATTCTGTGCTGACATTACACAAAGTCAAACGATGTCAAGAGGGAGCATGGACATGTGGTGTAAAAACACAAACTGACCAAGCCTCTGCTTCTAAGTATTTGACAGTCTCATCACAGAGTAAGTGTATTCAGGGATTGATTTCAGCTGGAGCTGTCTGGGGTTGATCCCTGGAAAATATGTATCCCTTCCCCTCTCTACCTTTTGCTATCCCCGTCAGTTGGGGGAAGGGGTGGGGGGTCCAGGGGTTTGGGCAGCCCCAGAAATGTTTCAAAATAAATGAAGCCCTCGGTGAATTTAATTTCACACCGGGATCTGTTAACAATGTGGTTAATTTGTGTTACCAATGCAATCAGTATCTTCTAAATGTGACGAATATGATGTATGTGATACATCCCCTGTGGAGGTGTAATAACTTAAAGTATCATTAAAATTGTCAAATATTTGTCCGTAATTTCAATGTTTAAAGTGTAATCATTTCTCGGTTTTATATTTTTGTAGATGTTTGTGAAGTAAAGGAACCTGCTCCCAGAAAGTATTTTGTTTCTGTGGGCCAGACGGCCATTTTGCCATGCGTTGAATCTGATCCAGAGTTTAAATGGAAAGATGACCCTTCCTCTGACCGGGCTGTGATCTGGAAATGGGTGAGGCAGGGTAGTGTCAGCGCAACGATTGTCCAGTATCCTAAGCAAACTGGTCAATGGACTAGATATGTATGGAAAAATACCGCTAGAATAACAGCATTGAAGTCTGCTTTTGATCAAGACAACTTCTCTATTCAAATCTCACAAGTGCAATACAGTGATGCTGGGCTCTACATTTGCCACTTTGCTGGCTACTTTAGAACAAGCAGCTTAACACGAGAACTGATCACAATGCAAGGTAAATTATATTTAACTGTTTTGCACAAGCATATGCACTTAAATATAAAAGTGGAATGCATTTCATTATTCATAGTGTACGATTTTGTATTAATAGTCCATGAATGTAAACTGCTACCAATTAAATAAAAGTATTAATGTTGATGGCTGTAATGAGTTTAGTCAAGCATAAAACACACTGCTGCAATTGCACATTATGAATTCTTCCAACGTGATAGCACCGCACGTCCGAGGAATCCCACGAGACTGACGATTGCCCCACGATCCATGGAGATGGCAACCCAGGCTTCCCATGGCACTCGCACTGGCGTCACATCCACAGCCATCGCCCATGACATTCTGCCTGTGGTGTAGTGCAGCCACATGTTTTCCAGCACACCTGTGAACAGAAGCGTCTCCTGCTGATGCAGACCCATCGCACTCACATGGACAGAGTTCTGTGGTGAACGGGGACAGTTTAGGAGTCGCCCAGACTCGCTGAGCGTCGCTGATGTGGCCTTGTCCACAAGAGGATTAGTGGAGGAGTCGGGAGCACGGAGTCACTGCTGATGTCTCAGTTTGTTTTACTGCTTTTGCTTGCTTTAGTTTCAGCCGACCCATCTCGCTCTGTGACAGAAGGAGAGACTGTCACATTGACCTGTTTTATCTCAAACAGTGGATATAGAACAGGTCTGCTTTGGTATCATGGTGACACTTACATTTTACAAGGCAACGAGCTGACACTGAACAAAGTAAAACGATCTCAACAGGGAGAATGGAAATGTGTTCTATATGACCAGCACAACAGTCGCTTTGCCTCGTACAAATTGCAGTTCATATCAACTGGTAAGTCTACTGTTATATACATTGAAATGTACTGCTATTAACTCATGTGTTTTGTTATTATATTGAATTTAAAACATTATAATGTCAAATGTAACAATTACATATTTACATTTAGTATATGTTTTGATAATTACTGTGCATTGGTTAATTGACTGCTGTTTTTTAGGAAGTGATGTTGGGAAGGCACCCGCAGTGAAAAAATATTTCATACACGAGGGTGGGAAGGTCTCTTTGTCATGTGATGAATCTGATTCTGGATTTAAGTGGAAAGATCATTCACAGCTGGCACGCGCTGTCACTTGGAAATGGAGATCGCATGATGGCACAACACAGGGTTCTGATCAGATAATACAATATACGCCACGATCACCTGACTTTGTTAACGATCAGTTTCCTTTAACATTGTCGCAAGTTACGTTTTCACGTGGTGGGGTTTACACATGTGAGTTTACTGGCTACTATAGGACAGGCACCCTCACAATGGAACTGGTCACAATCAAAGGTAAGATAATATTAAGTCATAAAATATAAATTTTCATAAAAAATGGTTACTAATTTCTGTTACAAAAATGTATTAACACGTTTCAGCATCCCGTTAAAATGAAATATCGGACAGTACTGTTAATGATTGTGACGTAAATGCCATAGTGAGTTTATGATCACATGAACGATTGTTACTGCTGCTGCTGCTGCACATACAAGCTGTCATTGCTGTTACATTCAGTATTGGATGCGCATCATCTGATTCTCATTGCCCATCATGCCATCGCCCTTGCAGATGAAAGCCTAAGTGTTCCATCATGTAAACGGTCGTGTCACAGCCACATTCACGGGAATATTCCCTTTGTTTTTTACTTGCGGAACTGATATCTTTTACAGTTATTGCTTTTCTCAATAAAAATTGAGTTGCACTGGTATTACATTCACTTGTTTTATTACAGTAATGTAGTCCAAATGATTGAAGAGACATCACACAATAGATAATGTATAGAGTACTTGATTATATTCACACAATATTTCATGATAATTAAAACAGGTTTACTTCCGTCAAGTTGCGGCATGGAGAGTTCACGTGAGAATTACGAGTAGCGCTGCTGCTGTTGGCCATTCAGAGTCCTGCTCTGAGTTCACGTTCACAATCAGGTTTAGGTCGAGGGATTTGGGTTTAGACAATTCCTGGGCCACTGCTTCTCGTGATCAGTGGCCACGTGGTCTCCTCTTCACCCCTTCACCATCCCCACCCTGGAGTCTCTGTGCTCTGCTGCTGTAATCACGAGTAGAGGAGCAGTGCAGGAGACATTCCATGATCTCAACTGCGCTGTGAGGACTCCAGGCTCCGATCTCATGGAATATTATCACAGTTGTGGATTCCACGTTACCAGGGATAAGCCATACCTCAAACTTCAGAATGAGTTGTACTCTAGTTTGGCTTGTGATTTTGAATCAATGAGTCGTAAATATTGATTTTTGTTTCGTGTTCTTTAGTTTTGTCCAACACATCCGACACCGTAGCAGAAGGAAAGAGCATCAGTCTGACCTGCCAGCTCTCTAACGACTCCTATGTACACATGGTCAGATGGATTCACAATGGGATTGAGATCAGCCATCAAAGCAGCCTCGTGTTGGTGAAAGTGAAGGCTGCTCAGAGTGGGTTGTGGAAGTGTTCCCTGGAAAGGGAGAGTGGAGAGATCTCAGAGGTAGCGTACAATTTGGACGTGCGAAAAATTGGTAAGTACACATCTCACCATCATAAAAAACACTGCAATCACATACTGAAAATAAATACTCTGATCAATTGTGTTACGTTTCATCCTATATATATAAACTGCAGTCACTGCAGTCATTCAAAATTGAAAATGAAATTTATACACGTGAAAGAAGACTGGCCCTTTTCTTTATCCACAAGGTAAGGTCTTTATTTCACGGCACGGGTCCACATCTTCCTTCTCGCTCTCTCTCCCGCAATGCCCCGAACTCCGCTTCCAGCTCCCTCTTTTAACCTCTTCCTGGCTCCGCACCTCGTCGCACTCCGTCTCCACCAATCGTCACCTCTCTTACCCTCACCTGGTCTAACCATCCCACCTGACGCTCACCCAACCCTCCAGTTCTTTTCCCTTTTGAACGTTCAGGACAATCCCCTTGCTCCCCGTGCCCTCACCAATCAGAGCGTGCAGTGTTTACTCCAGCCTGCTTGATTCCTCCATCCCAGGGATCGTGTGGGACTCTCACTACACACATATAACGTAAAGTTAAATTGACTAAAGTAATTTGTGAGCTGAACACAATTTCCATGCTTATACCTTCAGGTGCAAGATATGTAGCTGTATTGTGCCGTCCTGCCTGGTTGGTAATGAAACCATTGTTTTAACACGATCTGCAGGTTCAGAGCAAAACGCACCTAGGAATTACGCGGCTCAAATTGGTGAAGGAATCACGTTGCCCTGCACCGAGTCTGACCCTGGGTTTGAGTGGAGGAGCTCCTCCACTGAGTCTCGTTCGGTCACCTGGTACTGGAGGCCACGTGGTGACAGCACAGTCCGTACGATACTCGCGGCTCACCCAGCCGGACCTCACGCTGCATTCAGTTCCCACCTCAACTCCGACGTAAACATCTCGTCCTCCGCTTTTGACGACGACGACTTCTCTCTGACCATCTCAGTGGTGAATGAAAGTTCTGCAGGTGTCTACACCTGTCAGCTGACAGGATATTATCGGTCAGGGAGTCTGATGTCGGAACTGTTTACAACACAAGGTACAATACTTTCCTTTTTATAACCTAAAACAAAACACTTGACATTATTTTGTACGTTCTAAATTATGTCTCTAATTTTGAAAGATAATCTCTTGCTTTCAATGTTAACTTGCAGATCAGGAAAGTGAATTTAAACCTACAGCTCTTGTGATGTCATACTACACAGCTGTGAAACATATTTGAGTAAATGTCACCACACTACTTTAATTTTTTTCTCAACAAAACTATATTTGTTTACTTAAACCCTTTTCTCATCTCATCGGTTCTTGCATTATATATATATTTTTTATTTCGCATTAGTGCCAAAGGCATCTTCGTACGTGTCGATTGCTGTTGGAGTGGTGCTGGCTGTGCTGCTGTTTGCGGGAGCTGCTGTTGCTGCTGTGTTGGGCTACAGAAGAAGGAAACTCACTGCAGGTCATTGGCACCACCCAACTCTCTCCAACCAAACAGCATTCCTTACACTGAACCCCATTTTCCCACCACACCTTGTGTAGCTCTTACTCTGGTATAACCACCATTCACTACTTTAGCCCACCGGTGTGTTGAAGAGTGAAACCACAACATTTACAATTTTAGAGTACGACGTTTCGCTGGTAATTGCATCCAGGATCATCGGGCAATTCAACATCATCGGGCAATTCATGATTACCACTCCAACAGCAATCGACACATACGAAGATGCCTTTGGCACTGGTGCGAAATAAAAAATATATACTGCAAGAACCGAAGAGATAAGAAAAGGGTTTAAGTAAACAAATACAGTTTTGTTGTAAAATCATGATTACCCACGTGAAATTTCTCAGGTGAGCAATTTTTGCAGCTCAACCTGGGAGACTGCACTTATATTACAAGCTGTTGCACAATGTTCCAAGTTAAATTATGGCTATGTTAAAATTACCGTAAATAATTCGTTTGGGAAAATTGTGGACAATACATCTTGTGTATTAGTAATTTATCACGTGTTTACTTCTATGCCATTCATGGAATGTTTGTTGTTTTTATTAGCACATTCACTTACTGCACAAGGTTACAATTTTAGAAACCCATTCAGATTAAAGGTATTAGCATAGCTTGGCATTATTTGATATACCCACGGTGCATTACTAGCCTCACCTCTGCTCAAGCGTGTATATTGTGAATGCCCGACAGTCTGATCCCATCAGGAATTTAAACACCTTAAACATCTGTTACAGATCCACAACATGGCCAAGGAAACTCCGTTAATCTTCAAGATATGGCTGCAGGGGGTAAGGCATGTGATGGTGTGGGGTTCTCGTGACCTCTGTTTTGGCTGTCCAGGTGTCCCATAGCATTTACAGATATCGAGATTTTGTCTCAGTTTGATAGTGCTTCACTCGTGATACGGACAATGAGCAGGGTAACCTCAGTGGTGGGCGGGTTTTCAGCAAAGTGGACAGGGCTTATGATCAGTTGGTAGGGCCAACGTCAGAACAAGCTATGAGGACACTGACGGAGCGGGGGCTGATGGAGGGAGAGGCGGTCAGCTCACAATTTATACCCATTTGACCCTCCCAGAAATTTGATGGCTTTGCAGTACGAATCCCATCTGTGGTGCTTGCAAAGAGTTGGAATGTCCTGCACCAGGATGGGAGAAATATTGCCATTGCAAATAACACAGCTCAATGTGAAAGGTTGCATGTGTGCTGCAACAAGGAAGTTTGCCACAATTCATACTGAAAAGGGAAACGGAATAATTACACACGTTATATTTAAAGAATCACAAGTGGTGCTTATCCATTAGCCGCAGTGAGATGCAGTCATTTTGGAAAGTGATGACAAGGTCCTCACACAGCTGTGGTGGAGAGAAGGAAATGTATAAAGGATGGAAAGATAGAGGGCCCACAATTTACATCGCTATTTATGTCACTTTTTGGCAGACTAACATCTGGTTCTTGCAGAAACACAGCCACATTTCTCGGTAAAAAGAACACATTTTGCCGCAATTCATTTGGCAATTGCGAATTGGCTCACAGCTGGCGTGATTCGCTTGGGCTTATGACGGAGGCTATTTCTTGGCAATGTCCAGATGCTTTCTGCTATCCTATGCAGGGAGCAGTGAGAGGGCGGGGCAGCCCATTCAACCCGACATCACGGCTACCCAGAAAACATTTTTTTGATAACTCTTTATACAATGAGATTTTTACTCGTCATTATTTTTACGTCTGAAGCATTTGTTACTAAATATTCATGAATGGGTAACCGTCTATATACCAATTTAAGACTTCTGTTCATCTAGAAAAAAATTGACAAATTTAATTTCTCAAAGGTCCTCATAATATATATTTAATCTCCAACTATTATTCACTCAATCACGCTGCCCTCTATGTCTCTGCTATGAAGGAGCGACATTTGCAGAAATGTCGCCTATTATATATACACATACACTACGCACATATATATTCCCCCTCTTTAGGGCAGTGTTATGAGATGAATGCGTTTGAATATAAATATTTGGGCTTGTGTACCACGGCCAATGCAGTAATTTTCTTGTTAATTCACGTGAAAGTCCCCTTCCATTCCACAAAAATGTTGATGAAATTTTTACCAGTATGTGGAAGTCTGCTAACGAGTAAAACCAGCCTGTACAGGAATTGGGCACAGAGAGCAAGCAAAAGAGGAAACTACATCATGGGACATTTTTTGCCAGTATCAAAGTATGAAAAAATAAGAATAGGTTTACCCTTTACGGCAATAAAAAAGGTGTTAAGATGTTCAAAGACCAAATAAGATATCTTCTGCAAGGAATAAAGTCTGCATTAACTATACGTACTTATGATGAACAATGCAAACACACATGCTCGCTCTGATGTGTTATTGCCAGAAAGGGTAAAACATGTTCTTATTTTTTCATACTAAAGAGGAAACAGGTCACCAGGGTACTGTCGTCATAAGGTTGTTGGACTACAAATACACCCTTAACACACACACAGAGATGTTGAGAAGTTTAAGCAAATTGTGTATTTGTCAATCTTTAAAAATTGCTTTCAACATTTCCAATTAATTAAACTTTCGTAAAATAGTAAACATGATGAAACATGATGAATGCAACTTCGGTTAACAAAATTAGCAAAATCTGTTAAAACTGCAAATGGATCCTTGACTTAAATCAGAGTTTAACATCATCGGGTTTTTGTACTTAACAGACAGAACCACGGATGAAAACAGACAGGTAATTCTGGAACATGTGAAACAACTTCCCCCTGTTTATTCTTCATTGTAAAATGTCTTGCCTGCTGTGGATGACTTGGAAGTCCAACTTGGTGTAATCACAATTATGGCATTTTTAAAATCCACTGCTGGATGAATGCCTCCCTACACCTTGGGGGTTGTTTGACCACTCTTCATCACGCTGATCAGTGCGGGTTGTTGAAGGCGGAAGCCAGAACTGGTTCAGATATCCCTCACCACTGTTGTTATGTGTGGCTTGCGTTCAATCTTGATTCGCCAGGTTCATAATAATTATTATTTATAAAGTGCCCCTTACCAATCCTTCTATGGCACAACATGTGAACGGCTGCACCACCACTCCACCCCAACACGGTATTGCTGTTATTTGAATACCCGACTGAATATTGAACGATAAATTCAACAATGCGTTGATCATGTTTCACTAAATACTGCCTTTGGCATACAAGGTTAACGTGAATGCATACTCACATAAATGCATTCATACATTTAAAGTACTCTACATGTGACGTTGATAAATAGAAATAATTATGCAGTTGTGGGTGGAAGTTCCATAGGCACCTCCGATTAGCACAGTTGGCTATCTACGGTGCGAAAGGAGTTCAACATCCATACAAACATACAGTACATAGTGCCCACATCAAGTTGCTAAAGAGGCACATGACACCATATGGCTTGCCCCCAATTAACAAGTCGGGGGAAATCCCCCCCTTCCACCTGCCCACTGTTCTCATGCCCACAATTACAGTGGCACCGAATTAGCTGATCTATCTAATCCCTAAAGTAATCGATTGCTCTACTGATTGATAAGCATTCTCGTCAACTTCGCTCCTCTCTGGCCATTATCTTTCACACCCGGTTCTTTCGTTATTATCCGTGTCTTGTGAACCACGACACCGAGGCGACATTGTGAAAGGCACTCAATAAGTGCACATTTATATTATTATCAGTACTAGAGGTTTGACTGCTCGAAAAAAGGTTTTACCTCTGTTGCCACATGTTCCGCTTGACAGAAAGTGACGGAGCGGGGCTTTGTGATGTCACCTGCATCGTCAAGACACCTCGTTACAATAAACGCGGCTTGGAGGGGGGATTTTCCCACCTTTGGGAGACACAATGTGGGGCGCAGCAACCTTTTTTTTTTACAGGCGCCAAAGTAATCGACCATCAAAAAATTATTTGTTCATGTTTTAGTCGATTAATCCACTGAAAGTTGTCTCAGCGCTACACTGAATGGTTTCACCATGAATTTTCAGTGTTCATGTTCTCTGTGTGTTCATCAGGCCATTGAGGAGGAAGCGCTCGTATACAGCCAGATCGAGGTTTCACCGGCAAGCAGTGGGTCGCGACCTCAACATAACCAAAATGTCGGAGTCATTTACGCATCTGTAAACGCAGAGGTGATGGCGCATTCTGATTAAAACAATAACAGTAAAACACACGCGCAAGTGTTTTAGCTCTCCAGTGTGCATTTGGGTTGTTCTGGGTGTTGTTCGGCACGATGTCCGATGTTTCGCACCGCGTGCTGGGAGCTTCTTCAGCAAGAATTTCCCAGCGTGTGGAGCGAAACGTCGGACATCATGCCATATAACACCGTGGCACAACACAAACGCTTAGGAGAGCCATGAAGCACAATTGCAAAGAGCTTACACGGTAATGCCATGCAAAGTTTAACAATCATAGCAGCTTTAGTCATCTTAATGACTCCAAACATAGGCCCTTGTGTGAAAGTATCATGATAAAACGTCTGCTACTACAGTGCTTTATGCTTTCTTGTGATGGATTTGTAAGTGCATTTGTGCATTTACCATTAAGGAAAATATTTTGCAAAATAACTATGCATGACGCTCTGCTTTGTAATTCTGCATTACTTTTTCTTTGCCTGACAACTCAAGCATGAGACGAGATGTTTTTATTATTTGAACTACTAGGTCCGAGTTATTTAAGGAAAGTCACCATTTATATTTTTCATTCATGGTCAAAACCTATTTAACTTTTTGTGTGAATATATATGCAGTACTCTTACTAGAATATTTTGAGTATGACACCACGGCCATTTTATTGGGCGAGTGTAGGCTGGTAGTGGTGTGAGCTCATTGGGGTCACGAAGCTTTTGCTTTTCTAATGCCGGTGATGGGGAACCTACCGATTGTGGGCCTTATCCAGCCCTCAACTTAATTCCATACGATCCGTGTCCACAGGGGGCCCCACAAACGATGTATCCCTTACTGCGAGCATATAAGCTGCACAAATCGGGTACTAAGGGGGTCGAATATTATTGTCCTGGCAACACTGTATTTTCTAACTTTAACTTTTCTAACTTTAACATGCTAAGTTACATCTGTCGCTGCAAGGGCCTCTTTTCCACTCGGTCAGCGAACACGTTATTTTTCACATTAGTATTGGATAACAACACATAAGGAAAACGTTCCTCACCTTAAGTTCATGCCAAGTGCCACCACTGGTATAAGCAATGAGGATTCCGACCCTGATGCCTGCTGTATATTTGGAGTTTGCACGTTCTCCCCATGGTCACGTAGGTCTTTTTCTCCGGGTCCTCCGGTTTTTCCCTCCATGTTTAGAATCATGCGTTTTGACTATTTAGATTATTTTGCTGCTATAAATGTACAAATGATAAACCACTTTGTTGAGCTATCATTTGTGGCCAGGTCACTCTTGAACAATAAGTTAATACCTCAGTGGACTTTGTCTGGTAGGATGGAGATGGTTTCGTTGTATTTTTATGTGTTTGGGTGAATTATTTACCTTTCTTGTACAGTGCACTCCTATCATGTTTTTTGTATTGTTTGTTGTTGTAACGTTCTTACCCGACTGTACATGTGAAAAAGAGCTTCATAGCTCATCGGATTCCTCCTCCAGTATAAATATTCTGAATATTGTTCCTTGTGACAATGCAAGGCTATCTGGCTTTGTAACGTTGTAGCGCCGATGTAGTTGACAAGTGCTCAGTAATCCTTGTGTATTCTTTTAAGGATCAGCACAACAATGAGGTTGTTTACAGCGCAGTGCAAGCCCCAGCAGCTGATAACATGAAGCCCAAAGTCAAGCTGAAGGGAGATGGTGGTGATCCCAATGCAGTCGTTAACAGACCGGTAATACCCACACATGCAATTACAGAGTAGCAAACATATACTGTACTAGCTTTACTACCCGGGACTTGGATTCACCTTTGTCTCCCCAGTGGCGATGTTCACACACCACACCAGTTACTCGTTTAAGGCTGAGTCGACCTAGGGGAGGCCCAGGACCAGTTCAAATAATCGTCACCGGTGGTGGCCGTGAGCGGGAATCGAACTCGGGTCGTCGGGTTCGTAGCGCGGCGTAGCGCTAACCACTACACAATGCGTTACGCTTCCACATGCGCGGGTCACATGACAGATTTGACGTCACAGCTCACTTGCCGTGCAAAAAATATATGCATTATTGAGCTCCCCCCCCCAAAAAAAACCAAAAGTGTATTTTTATAATGTTTGCATGGTTTACAGTCTGGAAAGTACCCACATGGCAAATTTCCAGTTTGTTGCATGTCGGGAAGTACGCTAAACATTTTGAACACACACATATTCACAACTTTGCCTTTTATATATATGGAGATATCTCGGCCTTTAAAATGGTATCCCAATAGGAGATTTTCAAGCATGCGAGATTTTACTCAGATTTGTTGATGTTAACGTAAGGGGGGTAACCTCTTATGCCAGTGGTGCGGAAACTACAGATTGTGGGAATCCTTGTGTATTATTTTCAGGACAACAGTGAGGTTGTTTACAGCGTGGTGCAAGTTCCAGCAGCTGGCAACATGAAGCCAAAGCCTAAACCAAAGAGAGACAGTGGTGATCCCAATGCAGTCATTAACAGATCGGTAATACCCACACATGCAATTACAGAGTATCAAACATTTACTGTATATCTCGGCTTTTAAAAGGGTTTCTAAACTAAATATGAGATTTTCAAGCACGCGATATTTTACTCAGATTTGTTTGTTGATGTCTCGGCCTCGCTGTGCGCTGCGTTGCACCGCTATCCGAGTAGTTAACCTCGCATCAAATAAACCTTCAAAGCCAGGGTGAACATCCGAATCCAAACGTAATTTATTAAATTGAACGAGGTAAAACTGATGGAAAAACACAGCACAGATGCAGCATCTGTTAATACTTGGAAATATCAATACAATGAATGAACACTACAGCATCATAACATTGTCTTAGATAACCTGAAACTCAACAGTTGATCCTGGATGGACCAGGCACCCACATTAGTACTGAACAGCTATACAAGAGTATAAGCTACTGTGTTAATTAAGAACACATCGTGTATTCATCATACTACAACCTAAATGTACAGCACTAAACATAACACTGAATTGTGGATGAGATATTTCGTCATCCTTGCTCTCAAGATCGCAATGTGGTTACATGGGTACGAATCTGACTCGACTTATTCAATTACAAATAACATTCACAATAAGGCAAGTTACAGGCTTCGTTGTTAACTAGGCCTCATTTTATCATAACAATTTAACAGCATTATAAAGGCATTTACAGCATTATTACGGTCATTCTAACATTATAACAGCATTCCCAATATTATAAGAACATAAACGAACTTACAGACAATGCTTCTTAAAGTCCCACTATGTACAGTTACAGTTGTCTTCACTGGGACGCGATGTGTGCCGCCATTTTGAATTCTGTGTAATGGCAGACGCCAGCCTCGTGGTTGAAAGACTTTCAAATCGTAACTTGCTGTTCACGTGACCAAACTCAACCTCAAGACAGGAAATTCCGGTGTACTCACACCCCCACTTCTGCCGTGGAGTAAAACACCTGCCGTGAGGCAGAACAGTTGATGTTAACGTAAGGGGGTATCCTCTTATGCCAGTGCCACCTACACATTGTGGGAATCCTGGTGTATGATTTTCAGGAACATGACAACAATGAGGTTGTTTACAGCGTGGTGCAAGCTCCAGCAGCTGCCAACATAAAGCCAAAGCTTAAACCTAAACCAAAGAGAGACGGTGGTGATCCCAATGCAGTCTTTAACAGACCGGTAATACCCACACGTACAAATTACACAGTAACAAATGCATACATCTTGGTTGTGTTTCGGGTTGTATTTGTTGATATTAAAGTAGAGCCATCCTTTTATGCCAGTGGTTGGGAACCTACAGATTGTGGGAAGAATCCGGCCCCAATGCCATGCCATACGACCCTGGTCACATGAGACGCATCATTGAAAAAAGGCCCACAAATTATATATATGTACATCATTGCAAGCATATTAGCCACAATAATTGGGTGCTAGCAGGAAATATTAATGTCCTAGCAACACCGTTTCTGGTTTTAATGCACTCAGTCACATATATGACGTCAGAGTCTCTTTAAACTTAATTGGGACACATTTTTTGCCCTTATTACTGGATTATGACAAAATATGTATGTGGTCCCACAAAGGGATTTAAAGCCATATTCCACCTTCCTTAAGGAAAATATTCGCTACCTCTGGCTTATGCCTAGTGCCACCGCTGGTGTAAGCCATGAGGATCTCTGCAGTGTTTCGTCTGAGAGTATATGGCTACCTGACTTTGTAACATTCGCAAAGATGACAAGTGCTTAGTAATCCTTGTGTGTTATTTTTAAGGAACTTGACAAGAATGAGGCCGTTTACAGCATGGTGCAAGCTCCAGTGGCTGGAAACATGAATCCGAATGCAGTCGTTAACAGACCGGTAATATCAACACATACTACACAGCAATAAATATATACATTCGGACCTTTAAAAGGTCTCCAAACAAAACCTGCAATTTAAAAGCATGTGAAATTTGGATAGTTATTTTCAGAAAATAAATGTCATTGTGATCTCTGTATTGGCATCAATGTCGAGATATCCTCCATTTACTGTAAGAGTTGAGGTACAATTTGTGAATCATAGTATTTTTGGCCACGTATTTAATTAATAGTGTAAGCTGTGTTTTTTTTGCTCTTTGTACCAGAAGCCAGAAGAAAACCAAGTTGTGTACAGCCTTCTTTCAACTCCCAACACAAGCAAGCCAGCACTAAAGCCCAAACCAAACAAGGAAGTTGAGGCCCTCTATAACGTGGTTGCAAAAAAAAAATAGACATGTTTTCAAAAACTCAGCAAAAACTGTGTAATTTTGAGAAACTGCTTATTTGTCCTCAATGGCATTGTACCGTTATTTGTTTTTTTAAATCTTAACCCAAACCATTTGTTACATTTACGAAGCGTATTTTCATAATGATTTACTTGTATGTTAATTGGTTTATATTTGTTTCTTTTGTAGAATAACATTGCTTGAATTTCTAATTTTAAGTTTTAATTTAGAACTGTACTGTAGTTTATCTATGCATTGTGGTCAGCCCACACATTGTTTCCCAAGTTCTGTTTTTCACGGTTTAAATGTATTATGTAAATATCGGCTTCCTTTAAAAAAAATATTTTTTGCAAATACTGTGTGTGTGGGGCTGTCCTATACCAGTTTAAAGTTTTATTCAAATACTTTAAAATTTGCAGCTCTGAACATGGTAGTGAAATTACGACAGCATTTATCCAGTACTTTCTAATGTCACTGCAGTGATGTCACTAGAGTGCTCGTTAATGTATCTGCTCTTTTTTATCTTCAACAAAGCCTTAAACTTGTATCAGACGGCCCAGGTCAAAGAGTCTTGAGAATGATTAAAACATAATATCTGTTTTTGTTTTATAAGAAGTATAACTGAAAAAATAATGCTCATAAAAAATGTCGCTTCACTCTTAACTCTGAATCCAAAATATTTAACCTAACATGGTTATCCATGAGTATTTTAAACTTTAATGAAAGTGCCTTTTTTTGCAAGTAAAAAAGCTTTTAAAGATATATTTTTGAACAGTTGTGTTTTTTAAGATTGTGTTTTCAATGGTGGTTTTCATTATTTAACTTGCACCTCCACCCATAAGGCATTAAGTCAAAAGTTTAACATTGCCTGGTGTTGAATAATAGCAGGTGTACTTCAGGGTAAATCTACCAAATTCTTCGGATACTCTTATCAGTGATCTGGCAGCCCCCACCTCCATATTTCTGCAACTTACAGGCCCTGCCTACTCCACTGACCAACCACACTCCCCACGTACTCGGGTAGCAAGGGAATTTAAACAGGGATAAAAAGCTAAAATGTCCCAAAGACTTTAGGCTGTTGAGGTAGCCGTTCTCAAACCGTGACTCTTCCCGCAAATCCGTGACTTTTTTAAAACGTTATATTAACTTGAAATGTCAAAAACATATTTAATAATTCAATCCTTATTTGATAAAATACTGTAAATAAAATCCTCAGTTTATTTTTCCATCTCTGCGTCCTTGAAACCCCTTGTAAAGGATGTTGCAGTTTTGTAAGAAATTCAAAAAGCCCAATGATATTTGACAATTAACAACATTGGCAAAAAAAATCGATTTGCCTCTTTGTTGATGCGGTTTAGTGTGCGTGCTAAAAGAGAAGAGGAAATAAAAACTGTGCAGTGATATTGCGAAATATGCACTTGGGGATGTTTTATTAAAATTTCCAAACAAGAAGTAAAATAAAAGAAACAAGAAGTATGAGGATTAACTGTGCCAATTGGAATCCACATGTCATTGTCTAAATTTACGAACATGTGCGATGGGAATACACTCACTACAGTAGATGCATTGTTTAACAGTTTCCATTACTTATAAATGGTTGGATAAAATCCATCATGCGTAGCTTATTTTAGCAATTGAAAGGCTTAGAGGATTTCATTTGAATTCGAGCTATGTATTAAAATAATTATATGACGAATCATTTTAATACCTCCTTCCGAAAGAACGTGCAACAATGTATAGGAGGAAGGTAATAGGGTTTTAATTTTAAAGAACCCGATGCAGTAAGTGACTAAATCTATCCAATCACACGATTGCGCCTGCTGTGAAGCTGCCCGTATGACCAAATCACTCGGAAATCCGTCTCTCATCCGGTCAGATATCGGAAGCTAAGCGGGACTGAGCCTGTGTAGTGCTTGGATGGGGCAACGTGGATAGTAGAACAGATGCTGTAGGCTGCTGCGGGGCTGCTCGTCAGAAGAGGGAAGTGAAACCAAGTCCATTGCACTTGACAGTGCTGTGCCGTCACCTTCAGCAACCCTCGTTGGCTACTACAGTCAAGTATGGTCAAGTAACCATCACGACTCGCAAGGCCTGTGGATGCCTTCATGTGGCAGTGGATTGACAAGGGCCGTACGGTGTAAGAACAACGTGCAAATCACCACGTGGTGATAGGCGTGGCTGTTAAACGTTATTAGAATGAAAGGTATTAATGGTACAGCCCTGCAATTGCTCGCTTACGCCACCGTCAGCGGAAGGGTCTCCACAGAGGCTTGGTGTGTATTTGGCAGAGGTGGGACAAAGTCATTGTTATGCAAGTCCAAGTCGAGTCTGAAGTCATCAAATTCATGACTCGAGTCTGACTCGAGTCCAAGTCACATGACTCGAGTCCACACCTCAGAGGTGGGGCAAAGTCATTGTTATGCAAGTCCAAGTCGAGTCTGAAGTCATCAAATTCATGACTCGAGTCTGACTCGAGTCCAAGTCACATGACTCGAGTCCACACCTCTGGTATTTGGCCTATTCTTCCACGCCAACCGGACGTAATGGAAAAGGCGGACGTACCCACACTTTTACCCCATTCACTGTGGTGAACCCATTCATACTGTACTGTTGTACTGTTGGGTGGACCAGGTCAGGGCGGGTGCCTTCGTGATCTGCAGGGTGCCGCGGTAGCTAGGAGATGTTAACTACCTCGTCTGGTATACAGGAGGTCGTGGATTCGATCCCGACCCGACCCCTGACCCCTCACGCCTGCTGTATATATTTGGAGTTTGCGTGCCACTCTCGCTCCGTGGTCGCGTGGATTTTTCTCAGGGTCCTGCGGGTTTTACCTCCACATGTAGGATCAACATGCGGTCAGAGTATTTGGTTGCTACACATTTCCACACGCGAAGCCACTTTGTTGAGTCGTCATTTGTGGCCAGGTCACTTTTGAAAAAAAATATCTGTATCGTTCAGTGGGCCTTCAACTAGTAAAATAAAATATGGTAGTTTTATTTTTTTATTCACTTGCCGCACCAGCAGAGCTCTTTCGGATCCATCGATGTGTACTTGGGTGAAGGCCACGTCGTAGTTTTAGGCCAACATTATTGTCATCAACCCTCCACCACCCGACAGCGCCTGTCACGTTTGCAAAGACGAGAAGATGCCGAGACCCCTCTATGGTCCTGCGGAAGAGCCCTACTAGGAGGAGCCCTAGTTGCTTCAACTCGAACCTATGACGAAACCTCTCACGGAAGGTCACAACAGCCTTCATGGGTTAGAATGAGTAAAATCGAAACCTCTCTTATGACATTAATAGACAATAGCATCAAAGAATATATCCGTTTCATTTCAAGGACGACGTTTTAGCCATTTTTAATGCTATAACAATGTTTTAAAAGTCCCCGAGTGCTGTAGACATCCATAGGTCAAGAGTTCGAAGTGTCCAGTACAGGATCATGACATTTTTAAAATACCGAAATTGACACAAAGCAATGTTTTTTTAAGTCAGTGTTTAAAATAACATTTGTTTTATCTCTTCTTCTTCCTTCCTCTGCTTAAGTGACTTCGACCTTGTGAGGAAAACTAAAACTCCACTTTCTACCACGTTGCACGGCAAATGTGCCAAGAGTCTTGATGGGTGATGGGTCGTAAATAAAGTTTCTGTGCTGTAATTCTATAACATTGGTGGCCTTATATGGACGGTCGTAAAAACGCGCATCGCAAATCTGACTCGTTAACCTGTTCCTGATGACGACCGGTTGTAATGTTTAGCAAACTTTAATTCAACATTTTCAGTGACATTTAAAAAATACACAAATTTAATACGTAATTGAAAAGTGATGTTCCACGAATGTTACGCGCTAAAAAAATATGGCTTTAAAAAGCAATCCGGACGGACAGAGTAACAAACTCACACTTGCTCCAATATAGTGTGTTTTTATGAGATGATGATACTGTTTATACTTGCCAATCTATTGATAAAATTGTGACCAATAAACACTCCAGCTCAGCCGGGCGGCTCAAGACTTCTCGTAAGATCAATTCGCCATGATGATGTTTCACTCAAACGGTTTTTTTATAGTTTCATCAGCAGGTAGTGAGTTCGGTCTAACGCTTAATCAGCAGGCAGTGAGTTAGGTTTGGAGCTTCATCAGCAGGTAGTGGCTGATTTTAACGTGCTTAATACATCAAACAATTTGAATGATAAAATAAAGGCTCTATCCTTTCTGGCATAAATATAGGTGTTAAGATGTTCAAACACCAAATAGAAACCTTTTGCAAATAATCAAGTCTGTGTAATATTGTAAATTACGGCGGGAGACCACTTGACGGGTAGCACACTTTATTAACACTTTTCCTTGCCACAATAACATGTGTGGTCACTACAGCTCACGCTACACGTTCCACCCGGCTACACACCCACGGGCTCTCCAGCCCCGTAGCTTCCAGGGGAACTTACAGACCCACCCCAGCTTGGGTATGGATCACGACCACTGGGTCCCGCAGCCCGGTCCTCACACGGACGTCCGGCCGCGGGTCCCAAGGTCCCGCCTCTGAGCCACACAGGGTCCCGGCCCTTACAAGGACAGCGGGACTAGGCGTCTCAGGGCCCTATCTCTTCCTCCTCCGTCTTCCGTCTTCACTGGTTACCAACTCCCCGAGCGCCCGCGCATCGCCTTTTATAGTCCTCCGCTCCCGAGGAGACGGAGCCTATGCGGACCGCGATGTGAGCACCCATCCTAGTTGACCAATCACCACGCGCTGCCACACAATCCCTTTTTGCCAGCGCGTGTCACCACCACATAACCAATCACCACGCGCTGCCACACGATCCATCACTGTCAGCGCGCGTCACCACTACACAGCCAATCACCACGCGCTGCCACACAATCCCTACTGCCAGCGCGTATCACCCCTACATCTGCATTAACCACACGTACTTGTGGGTGAACATGCAAACAAACATGCTCTGATAATACTGGTAGGAACCTCCTGGTTACACCAGCCCACAGGGGATTATTGTGTCCGTCCGTCGTGCAGGGAGAGGCTGGGTGGGGAGGGTCTGGGAGGGGAGGGTGGGGAGGGGCTGGGTGGGGAGGGTGGGGCTGGGTGGGGAGGGGCTGTTCACCCCGTGGTGCCCTTATAAAACTCAACGTTTAACCTACTCACGCCGGCTTGTCCCCACCCTCACAGTCGGCCATATTTTCGGAATACACCACGCCGCCGTTGTCACTGGCCAACGTTCCTACCAGCTCCCTCCGCAGGAATGTGTTTATATATGGGCATTGTCTTTGAAACGGATTGGCCTACACCAGAGACAGCCTTCTTCATGGCCCAGTCTCACCACCAGTGTCTGACCAGAGAACACCAAAAGGCAAACAGTACAACAATGCCACTATGAGAGCATTTATAGATCAGGGTGGGTAGCTATGTCATGGGACTTTTTTGCCAGTATCAAAGTATGAAAAAATAAAAAGAGATTTTACGCTTTATGGCAATAAAACAGGTGTTAAGATGTTCCAGCACAAAATAGATAGCTATTATAAGGCATCGAATCTGCATTCACCACACATACAGTACACGGTGGTAAAACATTTTTTTTTTACAAATATTTGTTTGCATGCCTTGGCCTGTTACTTTAATGTTCTTGTTTAAATGAACAATTTATTAAGAGTTGCTTCTCCCATTGCTATGGAAAACGCAGCCGATGTGCAATGAAAGTTGTTCCTTTTTCCAGATAGCGTAGTGGAACAATCTGTAAGCGGAAATTATAATTTAGAGAAATGGGGCAAGTTTGTGATTTGGTTCCCTTAAATATGTCCACGCATGTGTTGTTTAATAATTTTCTTAGGATATATACCGTTTACAGTTTGCACGGTTTTTGTTATGTAATTTGGATTCAAACCGATATGTAGCCTTAAAATAATGAAAATCGATGTTTTCATTGATACGAGCTGAAAACCAATAAACATATCTTTCATTTTGCAAATTGGTCGTAACATATTCAAACCAGCACTCAATGTTCGTTTTAGTTAATCTTCAGTTTTGTTGTAAGTAAATAATAATTAAATGTCAGACTGTCCGCGATGTGGCGATACCACGATTTTGTACAAAAGAGATCGAGGATTATCGCATGGCATTTGTTTTTAATATCATCACATCGTGATCCCTGTTTCTGGTTAATAACTATTTCCCCCAATTATTTTATTTCCCGACAAAATATAGGTGAAATGACGATACTTAAAGTTCACAATAATGGTTTAAGTAAAGAAATATAAGCTCTTACTGTGTAGACGTTTTCCAGAGCAGTGGTTTCCTGTATAGATTGCAAAGATAAGCGATTAGAAGACTCATTGGAACAGTTGTGTTGGGTGACCTGTAGATGAATG